GCACAGACTGGCTGCCAAGTCCGCACTTTCGGCCACAAGAGGTGCCGCCAGGTGCACAGCCCCGGGCATGAGCCATCTGAGCTGCGGGGACAAGCCCAGCACCGGTCCCAGGAAAGGCACCTAGAAGGACACCGTGCAGGACCCCGCAGTAAGTAGCGGCTGGTGGGAGGTGAGGGCTGGAGGAGGACCCCAAGGAGAGCTAGGACCCGAAATAGCCTCCAGGCCCTGCCCCGGGTTCCCCCTCAGCAGAGAACCCTTAAGGCTACCTTGCCTGTTTTCCCCTCATCAGTGAGAACAGGCCCTAGCCTGGCCTGGGGGCCCTGAATCCAGTTAACCAACAGGCACACCCTGGGCCTGGAGGACCACAGCAAGAAGGCCTGGGGCCATCTGCCCATGGGTGTGTTGGGGGAAAGGCGACAGCTGTGCCTCCCTCCCGAGAAGTCTGACTTACAAAGGCTCTGGGGGTCCTGGAGGAGTGCTTGAAGTGCCAGCCAGGGTGGGTGGTGGTGCACAGGACGGCTGGCTGGGGCTGGAAGGGTGGCCTTAGAGGAAACTTCTAGGAGCAATGTTAGGCTATCCAACGGAGGCTGGAAGCGGGGCAGACTCAGGCCAGCTCTCAAAGTGGCTCAGTTCTCAGAGACCAGGCTGGTATGGAGGCCTGGGGGGCCCCGCCGAGGAGTGGCTCAGGCCTAAGTCCAGCCAAGGGTATGGAAAAGCCCACCGCCTCTTTGAGTCTTCTGGTTTGGCACACTCTGCCCCCTGGTGGCCACAGGAAGCCATGGTCCAGCGCCAGTGTTTTCAAAGGGCCTATCAACCCCCATCACCTATTGGCTCCTGATGGACAGACTGTGGTCAGAAGAGAGAACTCAGGCAGCTTTGGGTCCAGAACAGAGATAATGGGGTAGCAAGGTGCATCAGCACTGGGTGGGCAGTCTAGGCCGACACCTGGGCCTCGCTGTCCAGCGAGCACCCTAATTCTTCTCCAGGCCCCAGCTTCCTCCTCTGCAGCATGGGATGAAGGCTCTTTATGGGACCAAGGATGTCCAACTGCTGTTTTCTCCAGCCAATCCTGGCAGCTCCAGCCCTGCAGGAAGGTTCTGGGAAAAGAGCACCCTGTCCCCAGCAGCGTGGGTCATGTCACCTTAGACAATCTCTGAGCTTCTCTGAGCCTGGTGTGATGGTCCAGAGAAGGGGTGGTGTGAACCATTTACCTCTTGGAATTGCAAAAGAGGGACTAGCTGCGAAACACCAAACACACTGTAAAGTTCTCAGCGCAGACACTTCTCCTGTGGGTTGGGTCCAGCCACCCAAGTCCCTTATTCCTCACCTGGAGACACAGGTGGAAGGATGACCCCTCAAAAGGTCACTCTTCTCTCAATTTGCAAGCTGCCTCAAAAGGAGGTCGGGGGAACAGGTCAACAAAGGCTCATGGGAGCTCCTGGTGTTGGCGGAGATGGATCGTGGACTCGGAGGCCCTTCCGTGCTGCCCTCCAGCCCGTGGCCTAGGCTGCAGGTGAGTGGTCTACCGGTGACTCCCACCTGGTGGTGATTCCTGCCTGGTGTGGAGGGGAGGGAAGGAGAGCAGAAACCTCCAGGGCAGGGGCCAGGTGGGGGTCAGGGAGGGGCCAGGTGTGTGGGAGAAGGAGCAGGACTTCTCTGAATGTCAGACGGGACAGGTGCCTCCTCCCTTGGACTCTCAGAGGCAGCTGGCCCCCAGTGTGTTAACCTAAGCCCTTCTCGAGCTCCCCTGCGCCCGGCTAGGAGCCAGCTCCTCCCTGAGCCCCGCCACCCCCGCCCACCCAGTGCTCGCTTCCCCCTGAGGCTCCGCTCTCTCCTCTCTCCGTGCAGTCAGCCTTGTGGCCGACTCTGACGGCTCTGGCCCTGCTGAGCAGCGTCGCGGAGGCCTCCCTGGGGCCTGGGACCAGCAGCCCCGCCCCCCGCGGAGGCCCTGCACCGGTCCTGGCGCCCCCCGCGGCCCACCTGCCGGGTAGGTGAGAGGGTGAGGGAGAAAGGGCGGAGCCGGGCTGACCCGGGACATCGCACGTGACTCGGTCTCATTCCAGGGGGACACACGGCCCGTTTGTGCGGAGGAAGAGCCGGGCGGCCGTCGTCGCCGCAGCCCCCCAGGCCCGCGCCCCCGCCCCC